GGCAACTTCCATGCGCAATAATAAATCCCTTAGTCCAGCTCTCATGCTTGGCTGCCCACTCTCGAAAGATCACATGGTCGATCCTTCTCGACTTGATCCCACAATCGATCGACTTCGGAGGTCGTGGGCGCACCCCGACCTGTCTATGGATCCCAGCTGGGATGGACCCCCATCCCACCCCCTAACCTGGACACTTCTGGAGCCATGCGGGGGGGAGAGAAGATTTCCATGAAGGCGGTCTTTCCCTTGTTCTGACGCGGGGGGGGCCCGTCCGAGTTCACCTTCTTTTCCAGAGCCCTCCTCGTGGCTCCACTGAGAGCCGCTTCGCGCTCGCCGTTCCAGAGATCCCCGCCCCACCGATCCCCTCGAACCTCGCAGTCCGCGCATCGGGGGCCCCTGGAGGAGCTGGCGTTCAACCCTGACATAGCCCGCCCCTGCTCCGACTTTCTTCGCGCCCCGATGTCCGGGGGCCCGCGAAGGAGGAGGGGGAGGAGGAGGCGCGCTACCGCCCAGGCTGCAGGAGTGCTCAGGGGCCCTCCTTTTCTTCGCTACGGAATGCGCCTCGACGCAGGCGAATGAGAAAGAATGGATGTCTAGGGTGTCCGACCCTAGAACTCGTGGAGCACCTCCCACTGGGTGGTCTTGTTCTCGATCTTCCCCCCGGGAATCGGGGGCAGCCCCTGGGACTGGCGGGCCGCGATGCTTCTCGGAGCAGCGGTCGTCGTCTGAGCATCGGGCCCGGATCTCTGTCCCGAGCCGTTGCTCTGAAATGGGTCGCCCGCCGTCCAGCCCGCGCCGGCTGCCTGATTGGCGCGATGAGCCAGGGCTGCCGCGGCCGTCCCGATCTGGAGCGTCATATGGGTCAGCTGCGCCACCGCCGTCTCGAATGGGTTGAGAGTCGTAGCCACGTGGTGAATGCTCTCCTGGATGCCGTCGATCGTCTCGCCGAAGCCCTCGAGAGCCCCTAGCATGCGAGAGATGCTGATGATATGCTGGTAGATCTGCTGGAGCCCCTCCTGGACCTACACGGGCTGCTCCTGGGCCGACATGACGCGGGCCACCATCTCGCCGAGCGTCTTCTGCACGTTCCCGAGCGCCTGGATCCCCTGCGGGATGTTGTCTGGAGAGACTGCAACAGGGCGGACAGGCCGCTCACGAGGCTGCTTCACCAGCCTTTGACCCTGGATCGTTCTTCAGGAACTCGACCGTGGCGGCAGCGGCACGCGAGGCCGACCTGGCAGCCCCCGCGGCACTCGGGGCGTCGGAGTCTCGGCGACACCGAGGCTCCCACCCGAACATCTCTCCACGCAGGCCGCACTTCGATCCCGACCCGTACTGGTTCCCGTAGGTCTGCAGGTACTCGTCGGGATGACTGCGCTGGCTTCGACTCGCCGCCAGCGAAGGCGGAGGCTTCTCGGGCAGTTGGCGTGGAGGGGGATTCGCTGGAACATCCCCGTTCATTGGAATACGTGACGGAGCTACCCCTGGTGCGGGTTTCGGAATTGCCCCCAACGCGCTGGATGCTGGCGCTGCGCCTCCGGGGAATTCTGAGCGAATCTCCGAGGACGGGCCGCTGCTCGGAAAAGGCCGACTCCACGTTGACGTCGACCGCCCCGGGAAATGGCCAGGGAACGCTGCCGCGCTGTGGCGGAGGGCAGGGGGCGGTTCCTGCTGACGGGGAAAACCCCTGGAGCGCCTCGGGCGACAACTCCGCGGGACCGGCGGCTGAGGAGCACCCCGCGCTGCGCTCGACCCCAGCGGCTGCTGCGGGGTACTCCGCGGCCTCTGAGTCGCTCGAATCGGCGGCCTCCTGGGCGCGATGCTGCGCCGGGAACTCGCGAGCGGCATTCGTGGGTTCCTTCTTCTTGCCGCCTGCCGCTGATCCCAGCGTCGTCGCCACGACCGAGGTGAGCAAGAGTCTCATCAGGTCGACTCTGGGGGTCGCGGTGTCTCAGGACCCACAGGGCGGATGCTGAGAGCGTTTGTGGAATCGCGCAAAGGCTCGAGCCCAAAACAACGGAACGAGAAGCTCGGCAGCTGTGCCCCCTGATTCTCCCCTGCGACGCTGGTTGGGGCTGTCCTTACTTCGTCGGCCTCACCTTAGCTGCCCCCCTGAGATCGGCCCACCTTAGGTGCGCCTGGATCAGGACGCTGAGCCTGTGACTTGGGAACGCTGGAGAGGGGAGGCTTCTCAATGAAGGGGGCCCAGACCATCGTCGTCGCGAGAGATCCCAAGACAACCAAGCTGACCAGCAGGATGATGATGATGATGTGAGCGACGCATCCCTCGAGGCCTCCAGACTCCGACATTGAGGGGCGCGGACGGAAAGGGGCGCCGCTTCAGCGCCGACCCTGGCATCTGCGCGCCGTGCTCCAACGGACAGACGATTTCAACCATCCTGTGTCATGAGCCAAGCCTGGTGAGACTGAGCTGCTGCCCCGCGGTCTCGCTAGTCAGCGCTATGCGTGGAAGATCGATCCCGCAAGCCAGAATGTGAAGACTATTCACACTCAGGACGTGCGGCGCCTTCTCCAGTGGCACCGTCGTCTCGATGATCCCCAAGGCTCCGCCCAAAGTGAGCGGAAAAAAAGATGACGCCGATCGCGGCGGCGGCTCCGCCAACTCCGCGCGCTGACTTGCACGGCCGAAACTGCTCGGGGATGATCGCGCATGTCATCCCCCTGGGCTACGAGAGCTCGCGCCTCCCTGTTGACGGCATGCACTCCGACTAGGTCACTTCCGGCGCCTGAGTGGCCGCACTTGTCAAAACATCGCACTGCCGGCGATCTCACGCTCCGCGCCCCGCCGGGAGGTCATCGCCAACACGTCGGAGACTCCGACGCAGCCATCGAACATGTAGGAGGCTTGCTTCTGGCGATCTCGCTTCGGGCACTCGTCGCCCCAATGCCCCTTCTCGTTGCAGATCCTGCAACGGGTCATCTTGGTCAGTTGCTCCTTGGCGAGGCGACCCTTGCCGCGACCTCCGCGGCCGCGCCCGCGCGCGCCCCCCCGGCCGCCCTTGCCCGCGGGAGCGGCTCGTCCGCCAGCGCGCCCCCGAGAGCCGTAGAACTCCCTGTCCTTGCGAGCGGCCGCTTTAAGCCCTTTGTTATGCTTCCAAGTCCTGGTGTTCGGGCGTCGCGATCATCGCCAGGATCTCCTCGACCTGATCCTCGGACGCGTCCAGGTCGTCGATCTCGGCGAGGAGGGCCGTCTCGTCGTCGGGATCCGCCGACTGCGAGTCCTCGCGCTCTTCGTCGGAGTGCCCGCCCCCTTCCTCGACCTGGCCAAAACCTTCTGACAGAACCGAGGGAGGGAAAGAGTGGGACTGAAAAGCACAGGGCTGTTCGGGAGGCCCGGGACCGAGGTCCTCACTGGAGGAAGCCAACATCGCCAGGCCTGACTTGCCGGGCAGCAGTCGTTCTGACCCGCCAGCGTCCATCTGCCGAAGAGCCCAGGATGCACTCTCGTAGTCCAACTGGCCGCGGGTCAACGTCTTCAAATTCTGATATCCCTGTGCGGAGAGGGCCGCCCCGTCTTCTAGGAGAGGCCCTTGAGCTTGGAGCTCATCCAGAGGTCGTGCCCCTCCGCATCAGACAACTGTGCTTCTCGCGGGGCGACGAACTGCGCAAGGCTCCCCTTGGACTCTCGACTAGCCTCATAAAAGGCGCGTCTACCTGCTCTCCTCAGGTCATCGCCCTCCTTCTCTCTTGCCATCATGTCCATACGAGCGAGCAGAGTACTCAACCAAGCACTCGACGTCAACACCTGGTCTGGAATATTCTCGAACTTGGCTTGAAATGACCAGTCGAACAACTTCAGAAACCTCTCTGATCGTCTTTGCGTGGCTACGTCGGCGTTGGACTTCCACGTGTCGCTTCCACTGTCTGTAGAACGACCAGCCGGGCCACGCAGGGGGGATCTGAATGGTCACCCTTTGGCCACGGTGCCGATGATGTCCAATCCCCTTGGTTCCAGCTCTTGACAGACCAGGCGCCGCCTTGCCAGTCGCTCTGCCAGTATCGATATCGCTGCCACTGCTTCTCGTCCAGAAACCTGCTATCCTGCCAAGGATCTGTCTTCTCCCATGGGTCGGAAGCCGCTGCGACGTTAGGCTCCTTCCCCTGGGACATAGTCTCCTGGACTATGTTTCGGATCATGTCGCACAGGGCTTCCGGGCTCGTCACTGCTAAGGGACCGCTGGAGCTGCCGGCTGCGGCGACAGCAGGGGTCTCGCCCTCTGCGGTCCGTGTGGCCATCATGGCCATCTCCTCTTCTCCGGGCATGCTTGTGCCGTGGACCGCGCCGTCGCGCTCGTAGTCGAGAGCGAGGTCCGCCGCGGCGCGTGAGCGCCTCTGGAGCCGCAGCGGTCACGCCGCCGGCTCGGAGGCACCGCTGGCCATGCGGCGGGGCCCCGCTCCGCTACCAACTGTGGCAGCGAAGCGATGACAAATGTTTTGCCCTGAGCCACAATGGGTTCCGAAATTCAACTGTCAACGTCCTCTGACCTGACGTTCTTGAGGCTATGCTCAAGATCCGCTCGGTGAAACACAAAACGCTAAAACTGTTCACGATAAGTGCTTAATTTCCACACCCTGGACCGTTATACGCGGCGCCTTCGTGCCGTTGCGACTCTTGCGCGATGGCTCCTGGCACCGCGAGCACCGTTCATCCCAGAACGATGGGCGGCTTGTCCACCGCCGGATTGTTACACACTGGCCGACTCTGGGCCACTGGCGGAGTTCAACCTCGACCCCCCGCGCTGGGGCCGCAGCCGCGTCGGCGTTGGTTTCTGACACTGCAGGGATCGCTCAACCTTGAACGATCGGCCGTTTCAGAAACGCCAGATCGTTCAACTTGTCCACATCGGCCGGTCCTGCGGCATCCGACGTGGAACGCCGGCGGCGGTATCGCAGCCGCGTCGGCACGACGCGAGCCCACAGCACCAGGATTGGCCTGGCCGAGCTGGGCGCTGCGGCGCGGCTTGTGTCCCGCCCGCGACCTCGAGATCGCCTCCCCGCCAGAGCGACGGCGCCACCCTCACGGCGCCCGGCACCCTGTCGCCCAGCGCGCAGCCAGCGCAGGCGCTCGAGCAGGCCTCGACCCAAGCAGAGCTTCCCGTTTTCGTTATGGCTTCGCTTCCCACCGTGCTGGCCTCGTCCCGCCCCTGCTGCATGCGGAACGAGATCGACACGAAAAGACGGCCAAAGAAAGCGATAAAAAAAACACCGTCTGGGTCGATGCCTGCTCGAGCGCCTGCGCTGGCTGCACACGCGGGGCCGCCTCGTGCCGCACGGGGCCGTCGGCACGTCGGCACCGAATCGCATCGAGCCGGTCGGACGCTCTGGATCGAGTCGGATCGATCGGATCTAGGGCTCCCAGCTTCGCGCTTCGCGCTGCGCGAAGCGCGAAGCGCGAATAACTTCGCGCTCTCGCGCCGCCCTCCCAAAGGGAGAATAGGAGGACGAGGAGGAGGGGGAGAAGGAACGAGGACCGCGAAGCGCGAAGCGCGAATAACTTCGCGCCCTCGAGGGAGCCCTTGTCGGATCGGGGTGGGCCCTGCCTGTCGCCCAGCGTGTGCAGCCAGCGCAGGCGCTCGAGGAAGCCTGCGCTCTCCGGCACGAGGTCGCCCCCCAGGTGCAGCGGCGCCGCGAGCAGGGGCGCCAGGCCCGCGGCCCCTGCGCGCTCCCGCTCCCCGGGGGGCCACGACGCCAGCGCCTCCGCCACGGTGGCGCCGTCTGGCCGGTTGAGGACGAGCCCGCGGACGAGCCCCGCTTCGGTGTCCACCTCTCGGCGGCGCGCAGGAGAGACCCCGGGCAGGAGGTGGCCTCTGGCGCGCGGCTGCCAGGGGGCCGCGGGGGAGGCCAAACCCGTGCCATTCAAGCGCGGCGGCCGGTGCTGGTGGGACTCCTGTGTGCCCGCACCAGAAGCCACGCCAGCGGAGGTCACTCTCACGCGTAGCAAGGCCTCGTCCACGAGGAGCACTGCCTGGTCCAGCTCTGGGGCCCATGTCTTGATTGTTCGCGAGGACGCCCGGGACCGGCCCCGCCCCCCCCCCCTCCCCCTTCCCCCTGGTCACGTGGCAGTTCGCGCCGTCGCCGTCTGGGAAGTTGCAGTTCTGAAACCTTCCCAGGCGCCAGCGCGAATCATGACGTGACTGGCCCCCTCCCCCCTCCCCCCCAACCGGGTCACGCCCGTCTCTTCCACCCGAAAGCAACGAGGAAACACAACTCGAGACATCCGCTGCCCCTCAGTGGGGATATCCCAGACGTGCGCGCGGTAAACGGACAAGCGAGCACAACGAGACACGTGCATTGCAAGTCTTAGCAAAACATCGAAACCGGTACGGACGCTATCGCCAGGGGACGAACGAAAACTGTCTCCTGGCTGGAACAGGCAGGAGAGCGGGTGGGTCAGCAACAGGTCGCCCACCGCGACCCGCTCCTGGGGAATTCGGGAGGGCACGGCGCGACGGGATCAGAGGGATCTGCGATGAGGATGCAAGTTCTTTGGGCGCCTAAATTGCAGCCGAGGCTGGAAGCCCGTGGCCCATGGCTCAAGGCTAGGAGCAAGAGTGCCAGGGTACAGTCAACCCGTATACTAAGGATGCGCGGCAAGGATGCAAGGGCCTTGAAAGGCCATGCAGACACTTTGCTGGCGGGGAGCGGCCAGCGAAAGTGGCCAAGGCTGGGCCGAAGAGGAAGGATGCAAGAATAACCTTGGAAAGTTGCTCATCCTTACTATGCGGGTTGACCGTACCCTCGGAAATCTGCTCACGCGTATGGAGTGGAGCGGAATGGCCGCGCTCCCTCGGCCCAGAGGCCGGCCCGAGACGGGCGGCGTACAGGCGCCTCGGCGCGCGCCTTCAGCTCTTGAAATCATCGGTTGTCTCCAACCGGCGTCTCCGCGGCCCCTCCAAACGACGAGGACGACGACGACGACGAGGACGACGACGACGACGATGACGAGGACGACAAGGACGACAAGGACGACGACGACAACGACGACGAGGACAACGACGATGACGACGACGACGACGAGGACGAGAACGACGAGGACGGCGACGACGACGACGACGACGACGAGGACGAGGACGACGAGGACGACGATGACGACGACGACGACGACGACGACGGCGACGAGGACAAGGACGAGAACGACGACGACGACGAGGATGGCGACGACGACAACGAGGACGGCGACGACGAGGACGAGGAGGACGACGAGGACGGCGACGACGAGGACGACGACGAGGACAACGACGACGGCGACGACGACGACGACGTGGACGAGGACGAGGACGAGGACGACGATGACGACAAACGACGACGACGAGGACGCGGGGCGAGCGGGGCACGTGTGCAGGGGGGGGGCGTTCCTGGTTATCCGCGGGCAGCCGCCGCAGTGGCCCCGGGCCCTCGCGCGAGTCCTCGGAGCGAGGGGAGGGCGGGATGGGGGGGGGGACGGGCCCGTGGGGGCGCGCACAACGGGGCACGCCCCTGTTTAGAGGTAAAAAATTCGGGACCAAGACATTGATCTTCACTCGAAGCTTTTCTGAAACAGGAATCCCGGTCCAGATCTACCAGCATTCCACAGCGAGAAAGCCCCAAGACAACGCCCAGGGTCCAATCCAGATGTCCAGCTTTCTTGCGACCTTGCGCGACCAACTTGCGCGCCGATGCTGGTGTTGCCAAAATGCCAAGGGCCCGAGGTGTCCCAAGGATCTCCAACCGGCGTCTCCGCGGCCCCTCCAAACGACGAGGACGAAGACGACGAGGACGAGGACGACAATGACGAGGACGACGAGGACGACAAGGACGACGAAGACGACAACGACAACGAGGACAACGACGACGACGACGACGACGACGACGACGACGAGGACGAGGACGACGACGACGACGACGACGAGGACGAGGACGAGAACGACGAGGACGGCGACGACGACGACGACGAGGATCTCCCAGGATCTCCCAGGAGGTCACCACGACCTCACGCGATGACCTGCGCGGGCCGACCGCGCGGCACGCCACGCCGGAGACGAGGGCGCTTACACACGGCCCTGCGCGGGAAGCTTACGCGCGAATGTCTGCGCACTTGGACCCGTTTGGCCGCGCGCACATAAAACGACGCGAAGATCGGGAGCAAATCGGATCGGGAGAACTCAAAATCTCTGAGAATCGGCGGGTTTGGAGGATGTTTTTGGCGCCGCGGCCGCTCCAAAGCGTTCCGGAACGCTCTGAGAGCGCTCCGGAACGCTCTGGAGCGATTTATCCCGATCCTAGCCCTGTTTTAGCACAAGGGTTGCGGGGGCGGGGGAAGGTTTTTTGAAAAGGAAACTGCTTCCTAGAAGGCGCCGGCCCAACATCTATAAACAAGGCCCACGCCCTGAAAGGAGGACTGCTTCTGAGAAGCGTTCCCCCTTCCCCTCCCCCCTTCTGCGCGTGGCCGATGCTCCAGGCGGGGAAACATCGAAGTGGAAGGAACTCTAGAGAAACAAACCAAAACATTCAAATCAACGTTCGGAGATCCGCGCGGCTTCCTCGGATCGGCGATGGGGCCCCGCTGGCGGCGCCTCCGGCGCCGCCCCTCGCCCGCCAGGGTGGTCAAGCGCCGATCCGGAAAATCCGCACGGACCTCCGAAAGTCCATGCCTATGTCATGTTCTGTTCCCCGAGAATCGCCCATACATCGCCGGTCGGCCCGCTATAGCGAATCCGCACGTCCTTGGGCGGGGTGGGCTACCGCGCCCCTGTAGTGAGCACGCGTGAGAATCCCCCAGTGCTTGCACTTAGGGGTTCTTACGTGTGGTCTAAAGATCGGGGATGGACAGACCTCCCTGTGGCAAAACGTGGTTTAGTGAAAGCGACCTGAGGCCCAAACCTGGCGGGCGCAAGCATGGAAAATAACGGCCGCGGCGCCCTCTCGAGAACCGAAGACGGACAATTCACCAATCGACGTGTCACTGTTGGGGGTTCTGCCCACCCCCGAAAAGAGCTGGGCCTGGCTGGCGGGTTGGCGGCCATGCTGTCGCCGCCGCCGACCCGTCGCCGCCCGTCGTCTGGGCCCGGCTGGCGATCTGGCGCGCTCGTTGTCGCCGTCGCCGCCCGTCGCCGCCGTCGGTCGCCGCTGCTTCTGGGCCTGGCTGGCAGTCGCAGCGCTCGTCGTCGCCGTCGGTCGCCGTCCGTCGCCGCTGCTTCTGGGCCTGGCTGGCCGTGGCCGCGCGTGGCGTCGCCGCGGCCGCCCGTCGCCGCCGCCGCACGGCGCCCACCACGTGGACTTCACTGACTTGTTTTGTTTTTTTACTGGATGGATTCCCCTTTCCGGAAAACAATTGGAACGTACGACCACCCCCCCCCCTGGATCGTCGCCACTAGGGGGCCACATGCGAACCCTGCCCATACCGCCCACGACTTCTGGGGGGGAGAGTGGGGCTCACTTCGCTCGGGACCTCCCGAACGAAGTGAACCCCCCCCCTCCCCCTCAGAAATCGTGGGGGGCAGGGGTAGGGTTCGCATGTGGCCCCCTGGCCATGATACCGCGCCCGCCCGAATCACCGATTCGCACGGAGGTGCCCACGCGTCCGCGCGGCCTGTGCGACGCGCCGGGGCGTCCCTGGCGGGCAGCGCCACCGAGGCCGCATCGATCGCGCCGGACCGGCTGGCCGCTCTGCGCGCGAGGCTGCGCGCGCTAGCGCGACCGCAGCGATGCGCCAGCCAGCGCCAGGCTGGCATCACAGTTGCCGCCGCGTGGGGTTTGCAAACCAAGTTGCGAGTGGCGAGCGGTGGAATTGACAACTCACTTCGTACAAACAATATTTGCGCCACCTTGATTTCGCCGCATTGGTTGTACTGTACACATTCTCCGCTCTAATAAATATTAAGATCTACCCTTCCCCCCCCTGACGAAGGAAAGCACGCGCAGCGCCGCGATCCGTTAGCCGGGAAAAATAACAAGGGGGGGGGGGGGTAAGCGGCCTGGGCCCCAGATCTAATGACCCCATGTTTCTGACATGTTCGGGTCAAGACGGCCCAAGAGAGCCCCAGAAGCGCCCAACAGGCCTCCATGATGGCCCAAGAGGCCCCAAAGATGGTTTCGGATACCTCAAAAACCGCCCCCGAAAGACCCAAGAGGGCCCCAAGACGGCCCAAGAGCGTTCAAAGAGGGCACGAGACGGCCTCAGGACGGCCGAAGTGGCCCTGAAGATGCGAAGAAAACGTTTATTTTTACGAGGTTCGCTTCTTTGGGTTTGACAACGCCCACGACGACCCAAAACCGCTTGAAGACGGCCCACGAGGCCACATAAACGGCCCCAAGACGGCCCCAGATGGTTTCAAGATGGTCCACGCCCCAAGACGGCCCTAACCCTCCGAGACGGCCCACGAGGGCCCCAAGACGTCCAAAGAAGGCCCCAAAACGGCCCGAAAGAGCGACAAAAGGACCCCCAGGAAGGCCCAGAAATGCCATGCGCATTGATTATCGCAAGACTTTGTGCTAGATTTTTGCACGTCGCACCAAAGCGTTAACATCAGCAGGGTTCCGAAACACTAAGCCAACGAACTCGCGCCGTCACAAATTCACGCCATTTCCGTCCCAGCGCCAAGCAACTTTAACCGCCCCCCTTTTTCGTATAGCAATTTACACACGTTTCTGCCCCATGGTCCATCCTGAGTATGAATCCATAACATCCCAGGCAAGCCAGTAACGTTTCCCCCAACATCCTCTGCAAAGGGCGCACGCTCGTTCATCAGAAATCACAATTGATTGAACAATCCATTGCAAAAGAAAAGGGCAACATGCACGCGCGCGCGTCGTCGCGCGCGCATTCGGAAACCTGAGGTTCGCAGGGAATTCAAAATCACGTGTCCGGAACAATATGCATAAAAAAGGCACATGGTTTTGCAAGATAGATGCCCCCCAACAAAAAATGCCCCCGGGCCCTTGCGAATCCTGGACAAAAAAACCATTGTTTTTTTTCAACGTGCGCATGCCTTGCCACCGAGCGGGCCTCTCGCGCGCGCATGTCGGAATCGCTCGAACGCCTTTTTGCGCGCGCGCTGTCGCAAGAGTCCCTCGCAAGAAAGGGGCGAAGTGCATACCCGCGCGTCGTCGCATGCTGGAACCATTCAAAAACCGCAGGTGTCGTAACGATGTCCAAGTAGAGTGTCCGAACAACATGTAAAAACACATAGTTACGCAACATTACTTATTAGTTGTCAAAAATGCCTGCGCTCGAGCTCTTGCGAATTTGGGGGAAAACCATGGATTTCCAATATTTCATTCGATTCGGCCAAATGGGCCCCTTCGCGCCGCACGCCGGAATCATTCGAACGCGCTTTGCGTGCGTGCTGGGGGGGGCCACTCTTGCGGGCCACTCTTGCGCGTCGGCCGCGCACGCATGTCGAACTCCCTTCAAAACCTTCATCACCGACCCGAGGACGACGCCCTCGTCGGCGTGATCAGCGCCGGCGCCGCCACTGACCGTGCCGTCGCCGTTGTCATCATCGTCACCAGAATCGCTACCATCATCATCGCGTCTACCGTTGTCGACGTCACGGCGATGCCGCGCCCGCCCAAGTCGCCGACTCGCACTGAAGTGCCCGCTGGGAAGTGCCCAGCGGTCAGCGCCACCACGGCCGCGTCGGTCGCGCCAAACTTGCTGGCCGCAGCGTGCGCGAGCATGCGCGGGCAAACGCGGCCGCAGCGACGCGCCGGCCAGAACGCCGAGCAGACATCGCAATCGCCGCTGCACTGGTCTTGCAAACCAAGTCGCGGGTGGGCGGGCGGGCGGGGCGATTGCGCGAGCAGTGGAGCGGGCAACTTCAAGTTCGGCAGGGTGAGTTGCACCGCATTTGTTGCGCCACCTACAGTGCGCCACGCAGGTTCTCGCCCTTCAACGAAGCATGAGCTCCACCTTGCCCCCCCCGCGCTTTATCGACCCTCCTTGGGGCGCTGCAGTTGGCATGCGATTCTTCCGCGTCGTTCATTTTGCAAATGGAATTAGACCATCCCAGGCACCCCCCTCATCGCCCCCCCCCCCCCGCGCCACGCGCCCGTCAAATAAAACGACGCAAGCGCACTCGCTTATCGAAACGCACAACTTAACGCGAACTCCTGCACAAAACTGGCGCCGTCGCGCGCGAAGGTCGCAATTGCTTCAACGACGCAGGTAGATTTCGTAAGGATTTCAAAATCGAGGTTTCTAGCAAGGCATAACAGACAATAGTTTTGCAACGTTCTGTTTCAAACAAATTTGCTCGCGCCCAAGCGAATCCTTATGGAATGATATGGAATGGAACGGAATGGGGTGGAATGGAACGGGGTGGAATGAAAGTTCGCGCGCTGGCCCCGGCAAACGGAACGGCCCCTTAGAGGGCAGACCGCGCGCCCGGCATGGCGGACAACGCGGTTCACAAATCCTCTCTCTAGC